TTGAGCGAACAATGTAACCATTGTTATTCGAATGATACATATCTCAAAATCAAATAAATCTGTAAAGAAAACGGGTACTATGAGCACTATTAATGCTTGATATTCCCTACTGTCAAGAATAGAAAAGTCATGAAAATTGATTTGATAACAAGAACATATTTTTAAATTTACATGTTTACTTCGCATTACGATATCTCTGTTCATAAAGCGCGAAAGGGCAAATTAAAAATATTAAGTTATTTATTGAGACTATCAATTGAGACTAGTTTGAACTGAATTGGTTTAGCCGTTGCTGAAATATAAAAATGTTAAAACCACTTATCTCGGCAGTTTGTGTGTAAATACATATAACTGATTATTATTAATTATATCTCACTGTTATTCTACGTTAATTTTGTTATACGTGAATTAGCGCGAGACACAATGTCTCGCTATGTCTTATGATGCTTAGATTTTAATGCTTATAGTAACATATATATTTCAAAAATAAATTTGTATTAAATATTTAGTCTTATAACTAGGATATCACGGCGATTTAAATATAAGCTTTATGGTACATTATAAAAATTCAAAAGTTTCAAAAACAGTAAATATATTTTAAATATATAATATTTTCGAAAAATTTACTGCGAAATTATAAAGTGTGTTTAAAACAAAAAGAATTTATTAAAAATATTTTTGCACACATCTATCATTTTTATACAATAAAAATATTTGTAAAAAAAATACGTATCCCTTGTTTTGATTCATTAAAATGAATAGGAGGAGCCATTTACGCGCCTCTGTTCTGTTTTTTTTTTTTTTTAATATTTGCTCAATTTGATAAATATTAACTTTCTCTAAATCTTAGAGACCTTTCTCTTTAATATTTCATATATACATATACAAGTACACGAACGAACAACTCAGTGACGTTTGATTTCTCCAAATTGAGTTGTTCGTCAAAAACCGATAAAAAATATAAACATATGCATATGACATTTTCGAGCAGGTTTAGATAACAATATCTTTAGATACAAATGTAAAGTAGGAATCTGCGGATGTATTTTTGGATGATTGTGCTTGCGTGATATTTAAACGACTCACCGAGTAGGAATTGATTTCGTCATACATGATTACCCATTGGCGGGTGTCACGATGGCCCCCGAAAGACAAACACGTGGAGTACGGAATCATCGTGGCAAGAAGGAGAGAGGAGGGGCGAAAAGGGGGAAAAGGATGGGAGAAAGAGAGAGAGAGAGAGAGAGAGGGTAAGGACTGCTTTCACCGCTGTTACTGCGGTGATGATAAGCGTCGATGGTCGGGATCGTAACGTTGAACTTTTCTGGTGATCTCTCTAGCAACGACGACAGGGACGATGACAGCAACAGTAGCGATAGTGGCGGCGTCAACAAAGACGACAACGACGATGCTGATGACGACGACAACGGTAACAATGTCTACCATGAACGGCGCTCGCACCGGACTAGGGAGAAGAATTTATGAAAGAAAACAACGATGGGACGCGACACCGGCGACAGCGGGCGGCCACGAGACCTCAACGCAACCAGAAAATCGCGACCCCTCATTGGCCGTAGCGCGTACAATTGTTACACGGCCGCTTGATGGTCGACGCGCGCAAACGCATTCTGAAGATCAATGAGAGTTGATGCCGAAGACCCGCGGCGAATATGGCGTGGCGCGTCCGGAATATTTGAACAAAGGGGAATGAACGGAAGTGAAATGCATTGTCGTTTGCTAATTACACGTCGATTGGCACGGAAAACCGAATTTGTTAATTCTAACAAAAAATATAAAATTTTTCAGAGTAATATACAATTATGTAGTAGTAATATAAATTATACGTTTTTATTTTATTTAAAAAACAGCATTTGGAAATATGTATTTGATATATTTTTATATATATAATTATTTAGCAAAATTTTAATAATAAAAAATTTCGAAGGCTCTACTTTTTGGTAGGCTCTGTATAATAAACGATAATAGATGTAAATGATTGTACTTTGCACTGTATCTGAATGAATATACATATATTAAAATATGTAATATGAATTTAAAAATTAAAATTTAATATAATATTAATAATATATGTATCACGCTGTAATATATTTATAACTTTTTTTAACTATGTATACGTTATGTATACTGCAGCTGTACAGAGCAATGGCCATGTTCAACAGCAGTCAGCGCTTTGCACTGATTGGATTATACTTTTAGATCTAGAGGAATAATATTATCTCAACGAGGAAAACTTCTAACAATTGGAAAATATATTGTTGAATGCAATCATGTTGGCGAATTAACAATTACACAAACAGATCTATTCGATCGAAGCTATACATATAAAAGAAACAATTGTAAATTTCAAGTAAATAAATGGCGTTAATGACGCTCCTCTCTTCTATATATAATATAGTACAAATATTATTGCTAATCACATAAATAATTATTTTTGATCAATGTAAAATATTCATGCACTTATTATTTATGTATAAACAATTTTATATGTATTCTAATATAATTATTTCAGACGTTTAGCTCATTTGTAAAAAGTGATATATCTAAAACTGTATCTATATATACTATCTGAATATCTGAATATTTTATGAATTGTTTTATATCAATTAATATAATTATATATGTTATATCAGGAAACGAAATTATAACAAGGACAAAAATATCAAGGAACAAAAGTAAAGAAGACAATATTAAGCTACAAACTGATAGCGAGGATTCCTTATTTTAAAAATATATCTCTGTATCGTTCGATCATATCTTCATTTTTACCAGCGCTGCTAAAAATGAAGACATTGAACAGAGAAATATTCAAAGAGAATTTCACAATATCATGCTACAAATACCAATTTTTGTAGCTCGATATTGTGAAAGTCTCTTTGAATATATCTTTCTATCGTTCAATGTCTTTGATAGCAAAAATAACAGTATCAAAGAAAAAAGTGATAGCAAGTATCTCGATAGGACAGGGCCTATTACTTCTCGTAAGGTTTCCCTAAAAATGGATTTTTCCCAGAATTATAGTTAGTCTAAAAAAATGTCCAATTCCCAAAACCTAAAGAATCCATACATATATCTACTGATTGAATCACAAAGAGCGGCAAGCCACTCGACGCCTCATCGGTAAAATACAGTATAAAAAATTTTGTAATATCCTTTTCCACACATAGGCACTTCTAAAGGAAAAACCCTACAAATTGTTATTTGTAGTGTTAAAAATTGGTGTTTGTATTGTTACAGTTTCGTAAATTCCATCTGTAAATCTTCCATTAACTCGCAAGCCTCCTGTTAAAATAACCGTCGAGTTGAGTTATATGGTAGAGGGGCCAAAAAAAAGAAATGTCACTGAATACGTGTAATTAGTGTCGTCAAATTATGTGAAAGGTGATGTTAAAAATAGAGACATTGAACGATACAGCGATACTTTTAGAGAGCAAATTTCACAGGAAAAGATGAGTTGAAATATGAGAAGTACCATGATTGGAGTTTAATATCAAAGAGGAGTATTAAGATTAGCATCAAGAAGACGAAATCTCCGGTAATAAGGAAAATAAGAAAAAAAGGATATGGATATTATGAAAAAGTTGATAGAATTGGAGAAAAAAGAAAATATATGCAACAAAAGGAAGATGAAGATAAAGAGAAAAGAGATGGAGGAGGATACAAACACGTTTATAACTTTTCTTCGCTATCTTTTTGTTATTTGATAGGGAAAGAAAGGATTCATCATAATATTTGGATATAATTCGAAGTAGAGGCACACACAACATGTGACTAAAATTTATTTTTACGATTAAAATTTCTAATATATGTAAATATCTGTTATATATGTATATAGTCATAATATCTGAAGTTAATCAAACATCATTATCTATTCCATACATAACAATATATGACATAGTCTAGCGTTTAACTTATTTTAGTCAATTTTTTTATTAATATTCACGTATATTATGTTAAAATTAAATTATGTATTAAGTATGTTCATATAAGCTATAAGTAGCAAGTAGACATTTATCGACAATTGACGTCAAATATCATACATAAATGCCATTTTGACGTCAGAATAACAACAAATGACGTTAGCTTGCTAATTGGGAACAATTGTATTGTGTAAATTATAGTGAATTCGATTGGGTGCACTCAGTGAACATTGGTGAATATTAAAGCCGTCATACAAGTGACGTAAAAATATGTTTAATATAAATTATAAATATATAAAAACGGATTAAAACAAAAAAACTGTTAAGTAAAATTTATATTCTACAATTCAAAATTGGAAAAGTTTTTTTCAAAATAATAAATTGATCAAATAATTGTTTCATACAATCCTAAAAGCGATACTATTGATTATACATATTATATAATTATATTGTATTTTTTTTTTGTATTTGGTTGCAAAATACAGATCTATAGTTCACACTTATTCCGGGTGGTGTCTCTATTCTCGCTGACTGATGGGATTTCGGTCTCGGACTCCTGGGTTCCGGACATCCCCACTTTTCCCCAAGCAACACGGACGCAGAGCAACGAAAAGCGAGACAAGAGAATGCGGCATCATATCAAAAGAACTTTCTCAATGTCTCGCTTGCTCCGCGTTGCTCGGGAGAAAGCAGGGAAAAGTGGAGGGGCTGAGACGCCGTGCTGTCGAGGCCGAAAGATGCGAACGATTTTCCCCTCCACTCGCTCTCGCCTTCATCAAAAGCGAGTGGAGAGGGAAAATTTCTGTTGTTGGAACCGAAATCCATGGTGAAGGTACCTTCACTATGCTGAAATCCCAACACTGAAGCGTCGTTGTGTGCTGTGTATCGAAGCGTCACACACTGTCTTACTTAACCTAACCCTAACCTACGAAAGGATTCACTAAAAGACGGTGGAGGAGAAAATTCAGTGATAGGAATAGGAAAATTGTGAATATAAACTAATATATTTGTATGTGTCCTTTCACATCAAAAAGTTAAACATTTTTCTTAATAATTGTAATTATGTATTAATATCATATATTACGTATTAGTGTATTATTTTACGGTATAAAACAATTTTATTACTGTAAACACGATGGGAGGCGGAGACTTGGTAAGTGTATGTGTTATAATTAAGATCATAAAATGATACAAAGTGTGAGACATAAGGTGTTTTCCAATATATTTTTGCAGAATTTGAGAAAGTCATGGCATCCGTGTACTATGAAGAACATCGAGAAAGTAAGGAAGGCAGAGCAGCAAAATGATCAAGAGAATAAGCGAATAGCAGAATTGAAAAAGGAAATCGAAATGGAGAAAGATTTGGAAGACATAAAGAAATATGCTATAGAGCAAGGTGTAATAGAGAAAAAGGATGATACGAAATTAGACTGGATGTATAAGGGACCAAATCAAGCGGTTAATAGAGAGGAGTATTTGTTAGGAAGACCAGTTGACAAGGCTTTTGAGCAAATGCAGCAGGCAGAAAAAGATTCAGAGATGAATAGAATGCCAAAAAATCATGTTGAATATGGTAAGCTTGTATATATATATACAGTAGGATGTAATTTATGTTGCAAAAGGAAACTTTTTTTACACGAAGTTCCATTTTAAAACAAGTTGATTTGGGAGAAAAAGGATAGAAATTTTCGAGAGTTTCGCTACTTTAGCTATCACTCAGGAATGGTTTCATTTCTACGTTTTCTTTACATATTTTTATTTCTTAGAGAAACTAAAAGTAATTATTATAATAACGCCAGACTTAAGGAAAAATTGTTACATCGAAATAAAATTAATAAAATTTGTATTCGCATTTGATTTAGTTTGGAATTAATTTCGTAATTAAATTATTGAAAAATTTACTTTCTTTAAAATTTTAATAAATTTTCAGTAATATCTCTGAAATATTTTAAAACGTGGAATAATTTTAGCGAAATTTTTTCACCAGTTAGTTTAAAGAACATGGTCACCATAGTACTACATATTAAATTTGTTAACTTATGTTGTCAGGGTCATAATCCTGTGACCTTCAACATTTTAGTCGTCGCTTATTATTTGTTAAAAAATTATTAACAAAAAATATAAGAAAATAACATCTCATTTCCACTACATGTAATTTAGAACTACTCTTGTTCATGTTCATGCGAAGCAAGAAGCCTGTTTTTTTTTTGTGATAAACTTGGACGGTTCATTATTCTTTTTCTCTTTATATTAGAGAAAAAAAAACTGTACAAAAAATTTTGTTAAAAAGAACAGAGAGAGAGAGAGAGAGAGGAGAGAGAGACCGACCTAAGGTTTACAAATTAAGTTATAAAATTCGCCATTTTTTATTCCGTGTATTGATTTTTGCGAGATTTTTTGTTATAAAATTTGGCTTCTTAAATATTGAGATATTTTCTGCGTATATGCATGCATATTTGTATATATAATACATATATATATGTATATATATATATGTATATATATATATGTATATATATATATATATAATAGAGACGTTATATTTTATATAAATATATAATGTAAATTTGGTATATCTTTTATTTATTAGAATGCATTCCACCATCATTGCGATTTTTCTCTGGTAGCGAACAAGTTGATTTGGCTAGAAAGATACAAGAAGATCCTTTATACGCTATAAAGAAAAAAGAAATGGAAACTAGGAATCAACTTTTGAAAAATCCTGTTAAATTAAAGCAACTCAAGGAATTGGTAAGTAGATGTTAATATATTTACTTCCTTGTATTTTATTTATTTACAACGAGTATATATTTATAATTATGTATATATAATTTATAGCTCGATCAACAATCATCCAAAGATAAAAGTGAAAAGAAGAAAAAGAAGAAGTTAAAGGAGAGGGATAGTAGCGAGGATGAAGCTAAGTTGGATATTTTATTAGCCACTAAGTATAAACAATTGAAAGACGATATCAGTGAAAAGGATTTGCTAAAATCCATGAAGAAAATGAAACATAAACGAGTGAAAAAGTCAAAGAAACATCGTGATTCTGACAGCGAAGAAACAGATAGTAATGATGACATTTATGTTAAAGAAAAACGACACAAACGAAGAAAACAAAAGAAAAATAGAAGTGATAGTGATAACAGTACTGATAGTGATAATAGCAAAAACATCACTAAATGTGAAACAGAAAATAAAGAATATAATAGGAAATATTTGAGAAACGATACAAAATTAGATGATATCAAGAAACAAGATAGGAAAAGAAAATTGAGTGAAGATAGAAATTCAAAGTATGAAAGAAGCCAAAAGTATAGAGAAGATAAGAACGAGAAACGGCAATATGATAGTAAACAAAGAGATTACTCAAGAAATAAATACAATGATAGAAGAAGATATTCAGTGGAGAAAGAAACAACAGTGAGTGAGAAAGCTTTTAATTTTTAATTATGCGATTAAATTTTATAAATAAGCTACATAAGATATAATTTAAAACCTCGTATCAAAGTATGTTCTTTTTTAAGAAAAGAAGAAATTGATTTTTTAATATATATTTGATAAAAATTAAAAATTTAATTTAGAACAAAAAAATTTTTATTAAAATATTTGATTTTACAGACATTTAATAGCGGAAGGACATCAGCCATTAAATCTACCTCAAATACCGATCACATTAAATTTAAGGATAGAAAAGAAGATAAATATAGGTTGAAAGCAAGATCAAGTCTTACTGAAGAGGAAAAGGAACAACGGCGAAAAGAGATGATGGCAAACGCAGTGTGGCGTGATAAAGAAAGAGAGAAAAACGTGAAAATGTATCGTGAACAAGAGAAGAAGGAAGAGCAAAATATTACATTAAATAACAAGGATTTTATCAGGTATACATTAACATTAAATATATTTTGCGTGTAATAAATATATTTCAAATATACATTTTTGTATATATTTTTTCAAATGAATTAAAAATTCATTGCTTGTTGTAGAAAACAATTGGTTGTCGCAACAGAAGTGGGTACCGTCGCGTCTAGAATCAAGGCTAACATTAACAATATACAACGTTCCGGACGAGCAATGGATACAAATTTCGCTAAAAGATGATTTTTATCTTCAATTATATATATACTTTGTACAATTACATAGTGTAATAAGAAGTCTTTATGTAAAAATTTGACATAAATGTAAAAATATTTATATTTAATTAAAACAATATTATATCATTATTACATTATATCTACGTTATTATTATTATATATCTGAGGGAATAGGAACTTTGCATTAAATCTTCGCCGGAATATTATATTATTGCTTTATACGAACATGATAATACATAAATATATTATACATATAACAAGATATATTACACGCATATACAATATTTTTTTTTACTAACATTAACCCCTTCAGACCTAAATTAAATTAAAGCAATTAAAGTAAAAAAAACTAGTTTAAAAAAATTTTATTTTTTTTCAATTCAATATAAAAAAACACAATAAGTAATTCATACTAAACAATTAATTATTTTCGAAATTAAATAGTTTTTTCAGTATACATATATATATAAAAGTAATTTCAATGAAAAATGATTCCAAATTTGGTGTACATTATAATGTGTACTGGATCTGAAGGGGTTAAATAATAATCTCTCAAGTCTAGTTTTGATAATATCTGACTTGTCTTGTTACGTAATTTTACACATTTCTCGGGGAGATTCAAGGACATCACTGGGATCCACAATAGTTGTCACGCAGCCACCAGTAAGGACATTGTTGACTATAGCTCTAGCAAGATATCCTGCGGTCATTGAATAGTGCGCGGAAAAGAATGATAATTTGTCATCGACATTCGATAAATTGTGATCCTACGAATATACAACATGTAAACGTTTTTGAGAATATTATCTTTACAATATCATGTGCATTACCTTGCAATACATGATAAAACTATCTTCCACAAGCTGATTAAGATCTAGTTGTTTTTGGAAACTTAATTCTGGATTTCGAAGTAGAATAGTTGATATAATACTTAAGAGCTGTAATCATACAATTAAAATAAGCTATTATTTCCCTTTGTAACTATATAATGTAAATTTGGCAATAACTAGATCTTTCAATGTTTTTATATATCATGCATACTTAATTCAATGTTTTATATACACGTGAATACTATGATGTTGCTTAATTGTGCTATATTATATTTTTAATATGTTTTATATATATATATA